TCCTTTAACTCCTCTCATTTTCTTCAGATCAAAGTTGTGGCTTTGAGTACATGCATGGGTCCCAGCTATGCCATTCCCTTTGTGGGGTATGTGGAACACCCTTTATTTATTAATGGGATGAGGAGTTCACTGGCTAGGCAGCATTTATTGCCCACCCCTAATTGCCCAGAGGGCAGTTGAGCATCAGATACATTGCTGAGGGTCTGGAGTCATGTGTAGGCCAGACCAGATAAGGTTGGCAGTTTCCTGCCCTAAAGGATATTAGTGAACCAGATGGGTTTTTCCCCAACAATCAATTCATGGTCATCATTAGATTCTTAATTCCAGATATTTTATTGAATTCAAATTCCACCATCTGCCATGGCGGGATTCAAACCCAGGTCCTCACAATATTATCTAGGTCTCTGGATTAACAGTCCAGTGATAATACCACTAGGCCATTGCCTCCCCCTGATGCAGTGACATCACTGATGTTGCTTCACCCTCTTGTTTGGAATTGGGAAAATTTGTCAATTTCACTTCCAATTTTCACCCAGCTCTAACCTTCACCTTGTCCATCTCGGACTCCTCCCTTCTCTTTCTCAAATCTCTGGTTCCATTTCTGGCAACAGGCTGGCCATCAATATCCACGGCAAACCTACCAACTCCCCAGTTACCTAGACTATTCAGCCTCACACCCAGCTTCCTGTGAAGACTCCATTCCATTCTGCTAATTTCTTTGTCGCCACAGCATCTGTTCTGACAATGCCACCTTCCACAGTGGGACATCAGAAATGTCCAACATTTTCCTCAGCCAAGGATTCCTCATCACTGTGGTTGTCAGGGCCTTGGGCCATGTCTGAACCATTCCTGCACTTTGGCCCTCACCCTCTCGCAACACCAATAGGGTACCCCAGTCCTCACCTTCCACCCCAGCAGCATCTACATCCAAAGGATCATAAGCAAACATTTCTGCCACCTCTAGCAGGATGCCACCATCAGACACATATTTCCATCCACTCCTATGTCAGCCTTCCACTGGGACCATTCCCTCTGGGACACCCTGGTCCGCTCCTTCACCACGCCCAAGACCTCCCCCCACACCATGGCACCTTCCCATGCAATCGCAGAAGGTGTAACACCCGCCTGTTTACTTCATTCCTCCTCACTATCCAAGGCCACAGACGCACCTTCCAGGTGAAGCAGCAATGTACCTGCACTACACTCAATCTAATCTACTGTATTCACTGCTCACAATGTGGTCTCCTTTACACTGGGGAGATGAAATGTAGACTCGGCGACCGCTTTGCAGAACACCTATGCTCTTTCGGTTGCCTGCTACTTTAACACACCACCGTGTCATCTGGCCAATATTTCTATATCAGGAACCAAAACAGAAATTGCTGGAACAATTCTGAGGAAGAGTTATTCAACCAGAAAAGTTAACACTGATTTCTCCCCACAGCTGCTACCAGACCTGCTGAGCCTTACCAGCAATTTCTGTTTTTGTTTCTGATTTACAGCATCCGTGGTTCTTTCGGTTTTTATTTCTGTTTCAAGCCTGCTCAGCACAATCTGGCAGAACAGCATGTCATTTTCCACTTGGAGACTGTGCAGCCTTCAAGACTCAATGTAGAGTTCAATAATTTTACGGCGTGAATACCGCTTTCCATGTCCTTTACCCACCTCCACACATCAAGCCCCACCATGACATGAGCTGCTTTCATCACAGCCAACCCATTTTCACTCACTAATGGTCCCTATTATCAGCACTTTTTCCCCCCAGCTCACCATTATCTATCCCTTTTGCCTGCCCAATTGCTCTTCTCTCCCTCTAGGCTCTATCAACCACTTATCATTTATTCCTTTTCCTAGCTACAATCTGTTCTGAAGTTACTGGACCTAAAACATTGACTCAGCCTTCTCTTCACAGATGATGCCAGACCTGCTGAGTTTTTCCAGCAATTTCTGTTTTTGTTTCAGCTTTAGACCAGATTTCTCAACCAACTACAGAAGAAGGCAACCGAAAGGGAGGTCATGGAGGAGGGCTTCTCCACTGAGTCAGTATGGGTGGAAGTCAGAACAGGAAAGGAGCAGTCACTTTATTGGGAGTTTTCTATAGACCTCCCAATAGCAACAGAGACACTGAGGAACAGTTTGGGAGACAGATTTTGGAAAGGTGCAGAAGTAATAGGGTTGTTGTCATGGGCAACTTCAACTTCCCTAACATAGACTGGAACCTCCCAAGTGCAAATAGTTTGAATGGAGCAGCTTTTGTCAGATGTGTCCAGGAAGAATTTCTGATATGTAGATAGGCCAACTAGAGGGGTGGCCATATTGGATTTGGTGCTTGGAAATGAACCAGGCCAGGTGTCAGATCTCTCGGTGGGAGAGCATTTTGGTGATAGTGATCACAACTCCCTGACCTTTACTATAGTCATGGAGAGGGATAGGAGCAGATGGTATGGGAAAGTATTTAATTGGGAGAGGGGGAATTACAATGCTATAAGGCAAGAACTACGGAGCACCAATTGGGATCAGATGTTCTCAGGGAAATGCACGACAGAAATGTGGAGGTTGCTTCGGGAGCAGTTGCTACAGGTACTGGATAGGTTTGTCCCACTGAGGCAAGGAAAGGAAGGTAAGGTAAAGGAACCTTGGATGACAAGACATATTGAACACCTAGCCAAGAGGAAGAAGGAAGCTTACTTAAGGTTGAGGAAGCAAGGATCGGACAGGGCTCTAGAGGTCTACAAGGTAGCCAGGAAGGAACTGAAGAATGGACTGAGGAGAGCTAGAAGGGGGTATGAGAAAACCTTGGCAGGTAGGATCAAGGAAAACCCCAAGGCTTTCTATACTTATGTGAGGAACAAGGGGATGGCCAGAGTGAGGATAGGGCCAATCAGTTGTGTGCAGAGTCGGAGGAGGTAGGGGAGGTCCTTAATAAATACTTTGCTTCAGTATTCACCAGTGAGAGAGACCTTGACATTTGTGAGGACAGCATGAAACAGACAGATATGCTCGAACAGGTTGTTGTTAGGAAGGAGGAGTGCTAGAAATCTTGAAAAATATGAGGATTGGTAAGTCCCCTGGGCCAGACGGGATATACCCAAAGTTGCTATGGGAAGCGAAGGAGGAGATTGCTGCCCCTTCGACAATGATCTTTGTGTCCTCACTGTCCACTGGAGTGGTCCCAGAAGATTGGAGGGTGGCAAATGTCATTCTCTTGTTCAAGAAAGGGAATAAGGATAATCCTGGAAATTACAGACCAGTCAGTCTTACTTCTGTGGTGGGCAAATTATTGGAGAGGATTCTGAGAGATAGTATTTATAATTATTTGGAAAAGCACAGTTTGATTAGAAATAGTCAGCATGGCTTTGTGAGGGGCAGGTCATGCCTCACAAGCCTTATTGAATTCTTTTGAGGGTGTGACAAAACACATCGATGAAGGTAGAGCAGTGTATATGGTGTATATGGATTTTAGCAAGGCATTCGATAAGGTTCCACATGGTAGGCTCATTCAGAAAGTAAGGAGGCATGGGATTCAGGGAAATTTCACTGTCTGGATACAAAACTGGCTGTCCAATAGAAGACAGAGGGTAGTAGTAGATGGAAAGTATTCAGCTTGGAGCTTGGTGACCAGTGGTGTTCCTCAGGGATCTGTTCTGGAACCTCTGCTCTTTGTGATCTTTATAAATGACTTGGATGAGGAAGTGGAGGGGTGGGTTAGTAAGTTTGCCGATGACACAAACGTTGGTGGACAGCGTGGAGGGCTGTTTAGGTTGCAACGGGACCTTGACAGGATGCAGAGCTGGGCAAAGAAGTGGCAGATGGAATTCATCCCAGAAAAGTGTGAAGTGATTCATTTTGGAAGGTTGAATTTGAATACAGAATACAGAGTTAATGGCAGGATTCTCGACAGTGTGGAGGAACAAGAGGGATCTTGCGGTCCACGTCCATTGATCCCTCAAAATTGCGACCCAAGTTGATAGGGTTGTAAAGAAGGCATTTGGTGTGTTAGATTTCGTTGGCAGGAGAATTAACTTTAAGAGCCGTGAGGTTATGCCGCTGCTCTGTAAAACTCTGGTTAGATCACACTTGGAATATTATGTTCAGTTCTGGTTGCCTCATTATAGGATAGATGTCGAAGTTTTAGAAAGGGTGCAGAGCAGATTTACCAGGATGCTGCCTGGACTGGAGGGCAGGTCTTATAAGGAAAGGTTGAGGGAGCTAGGGCTTTTCTCATTGGACGGAAGAAGGATGAGAGGTGACATGATAGAGGTGTACAGGATGATGAGAGGTATAGATAGAGTGGATAGTCAGAGACTTTTTCCCAGGGCGGAAACGACTATTATGAGGGGGCATAATTTTATAGTTATTGGAGGAAGGTATAGGGGAAATGTCAGAGGTAGGTTCTTCACACAGAGAGTGGTAGGTGTGTGGAATGCGCTGCCAGCAGTGTTAGTGGAGTCAGATACTTTAGAGACTTTTAAGCAACTCTTGGATAGGCACATGGATGATATTAAAATGTAGGGTATGCAGGGTAGATTGATCTTTGTAGGATAATAGGTCGGCACAATATCGTGGACCGAAAGGCCTGTACTGTGTTGTACTGTTCTATGTTCTATGCATGTTCTTGGTGGTGAGGAATATTCCAGCCCAGCAAATGAGATGATCTCCCATTGATGCTGCATGCTCTAACACATCTATTGGTAGAGTTTGTCAGCCTTGGTAAGTTGCCATTGAAAGGGCACTGCCAAAGATTTTCAATTCTCCTCTCCTTTATTCCCTTACTCATCCATTAGTCCTTTATAAAATAATATCAGTAATATGTATTTCCATTTATCCTATGCCACAGACAGGGAGCTGCATTTGAACTGTGCATGTTTCAATTAAATGGCAAAAGACACAACTTCCCCTTTTCGCTTCAGCTCTCTATTGAGAGTGCAGGATTAATTTAAGCACTGTGTTGTGCTTAAGCGCATGTGGTCACACTTTTTTTTATATATAACATTAGAAAAATGGCACAAAGACATGGAACAAACCCATGGATTGACTCATTCTCTAGACGTATGGATGAAGAACTGGGAAATGAAGACAGGTGGACATTAAATTTCAATTATAAACTTGAAAACGACTTAAATGAATCGCAGAGAAAAGAAGGTTGGAAAATATATATAACATCATCATTTGGCAGGTAAGGGATTATTTTTTGAAGATCAAGTATACAACAGGGATACCAGAATCCTTTCTATGTAAAACAGATACTTACCCCAGTTACTACTTGAAAATGAGCAATTAAAGGTCAATTAAGGTACAATAAAATTACAATAAATTGAATTACAGAGCATCCACTCACAAACTTGTGTTTATTAGAGCCTCGAAATCATCAAGAAGGCCCCTATCCAACACAGTTTTGCCTATAAACACATTTTATGTCAAAAAAAAGTGACACTATAAATATGTGAAAAATTTATTTTTTTTTTCAATCTGCTTACTATTTATAATTGCTGGATCTTGCACAGTAAAAGGAACTGAAAAATGTTGGGAGATACCTGAAAGAAAACGCACTAATCCTTTTCTGCTTGGCATCTGTCTTTGGATGAGTGTGATACAGACTACCATGTCATCAATGCAGTCAAACATGCTTTCTGTACTTCTATGCAGCAGTGCAAATCCTGGAGAACCTTTGCAATTTCAGCTACGGAAACAGGTGAGAAAGCAGCCAGGCATTCATCAGATCTTTCAGCTCTACTTGCAGGATTTAGCATAGAGATATTCTCCTTGTCCGTGTGGATTGAGATGAGTGAGTATTGGTCGTGTCTTTTTGTAGCCAGTTCCTGTTCATCTCATCTCAATCCACATGGACAAGGAGAACCACGACTTCGACTGGGACAATGCCAAGATCCTGGGACAGGCTAGGCAGAGACAAGCATGAGAATTCCTGGAAGCATGGCACTCCACGAAGCATGCTATTAATAAACACATTGAACTCGACCCCATATACGTTCCACTACGGAGGAAACCCGGAAGTGAGGCAATCCATCGCAACGGACCCCAGAGTTTAAAAACCAGGCGGGAAAACACACCGACGCTTCATCAGAGGCTGCACTGAGGATGTTACCAAGCACAGTAGCGAAACGTCTGCGGAACAACAAACCAGCTCGGCGAGCCAACCAACCTCAACACCCACAACCCGAGCTACAGATCTACTCCAAAACCTTATAGACTGGATAGGTTGGGACTTTTTTCACAGGAGTGAAAGAGGTTGACCTTGTAGAGTTTTACAAAATCATGAGGAGCATAGGTAAGGTGCAAAGCAACGGTCTTTTCCTTGGAGTGGGGTAGTTCAAAACTAGGGGGCATATTTTTAAGGTGAGAGGAGAAAGCTTAAAAAGGACATGACAGACAACTTTTTTACATATGGATTGGTTCATGTGTGGAATAAACCACCAGAGGAAGTGGTGGATGCAGGTACAGTTACAACATTTAAAAGACATTTGGATAAGTGCATGAATAGGAAGGGGTCCAAGGGATTCGGGCCAAACACAGGCAAGTGGGACTAGTTTAGATGGGGAACATGACATGTTCCCATGGGCATAGACTAGTTGGACCAAAGGGTCTGTTTCCATGCTGATTGACTCTCTGACTCTATGATTATGACCACAATATAGGAAGGATAGGGAGGCTTTGGAGAGGTCCAAAGCAGGTTCATCAGAATAATATTACCTAGGTCGTACAATATTAGCTACAAGGAGAGGTTATACAAACTTCTATTATTTTTGTTACAGCGTTGGATGCTGAGAGGCGACCTGATAGAAGTATATAAAATTATGACAGGCACGGATCGGTTGGATAGTCGGAGTCTTTTTCCCAGAGTGGAAATGTCAATTACTAGGGGGCATAGGTCTAAGGTGAGAGGGGGAAAGTTTAAAGGACATTTGTGGGGAAAGTTTTTTTTAAAACACAGAGGCTGGTGGGTGACTGGAACATGTCGCCAGGGGAGCTGGTAGAAGCAAATACAATAGCAACATCTAACAGGCACTTAGACAGATACACGAACAGACAGGGAACAGACAGGGAATAGAGGATACAGACCACGTGCAGGTAGATGTGATTAGTTTAGAATGGCACCATGTTAGAACAGACACGGTGGGCCAAAGGGCCTATTCCTGTGCTGAACTGTTCTGTGTTCTGTAAATACTATGGTTGGGGAAGGAAAAAAAAACAAAAGATTAGTGGGGCACAATTCTGGTACCAGTCCAGATTACGGGTGTTTATAAGATGTTTCCATCAGTTCCCTTCTAGTTCCTTGGAACCCATTGAGGAGGACACAAGGTTGTGAACATACTACTGCTCAACTTTTCATTCACTGGTCGAGGATTTACCCTTTTCAGTACATTTGAAAGTGTTTATCCCCTTTTTCATTTCAAGAAGGGAATTTGCAGAGTGAGTAGCTGTTTCGAGTGTTCATTTACTTCTCCATGTAGCGAAAGGATGAGGGAGAGAGAGACATTTTCTCCTTCACAGGTTGGATTTTGCTGGTTTATTGGCCAAATACAAACTGTTGCCACTGACCCAGGAGCCAATCAAGAAGTTGCTACTATGCTGAACACACATACAACAGGCCCTGATGCAAATTCTGTCTCTGGGCAAAACTGCCTTGAACACATACCCATGGAGCTGAGGGGTCTGGCCTCCTCCAGGTCAACTCCAGGAATAAGGTCAACTTTAGAACATGCAATGATTCTAGTAACTCCTAATCTTTTTAAAAAAACAACACTGTTACATCTTCTACATAGTCTCTTGGCTTCAAGCTGTATCTTTTCCAATTTTTATATCCACCTCCAAAAATTAAAAGTGGTTATTACATGAGCAGTGTTCTCTTTGAAACGTAACATTTCGAGCACACACAGTTCTAAATGTGTTGCTAGGTGGCAACATTCAATTTTACCCAGCAATGGGGCAGGATCTTATTGCAAGGTTTTCAATAGATCTCTCAAGACAGATCAGGGGTCACTGGAGAGAAGTTGAAAGATTACTTGAAGGGACTAAAAGTCAGTAAAGTATGAAGGAGATAGAGACTCAATGTTACGGAGTATAGTTGCTACCTGTACTGTTGAACTCTTCAGGTTTTGTGTAGTTGGAGTGCTCAAGAAAGTCCTAAAGCAGTTGAATAACACTGTGCACTATGTGCTCAGAAGTCCTAGAAGTAATGAATAGCTGGCAGACAATACAGTCCATTTTAAGAGTGTGGCACTTAGCTGGGAAGGCAGCTGAACTATAGATTCTGTCTCAGGTTCCTTAGTGAGGAGTAGGGAGGCAAGAGCAGTTGGATGGCTCTAAGTTGTTAGAACAAATTCAGGACTAACTTCCAGAATTAGAAGGCAGCTGAGAGTCAGAATCTGGGCTCAGAAGAATCCCTAGGAAGCTGAGAAAGTGGGAAGGTCACTGACTTTATCTTAGGGAAAGGTGTGAGATGCTTAGAAGGAGCCTGCATGGATTAATACTTCGGTACAACTGAGAAAGTGGGTGTTGAAAGACTCACAAGTTGTATTTACTTCAAACAACTGAACAAATTTAGGGCTCAGAGAAAAATACAGGAAAGTTTTAGCTTGGCGAAGCTAGCTGTCAGTGAAAGCCTGGAGTTAGGCCTGCGAATGAATACTGGAGTGCAGTTTTGGAATCCAAGGGTGCATGAACTCTTGAAAGGAGGGTGATCAACCAGAACAAGGGCAGTTGGCGAGGCAGTCTATGTCAGAGCAGCTCTTAAGAAGGAGTTTCAAGGTCATATTACCAAAAATGAAGAATTGTAATTCCTTGTGAAGTTTAATGAGATCTGATGATCCATTGAATCATTAACATCTGGGGAGAATTGCTGAGAAATTTATGGAATCTATCTTGATCACATTTGCTTTTTAATATTAACTGTTCAATTATAATATTTTGTCCATATTTCCCACATGTTAATTTTGGGTGTCAGAAATAAGTCGTAGATACATTGTGGATTGCATTAGTGTTTCAATGTATATCATAAAGGATTGGTAGCTGTTAAATACTGTGAAATTTTGTGGCTTCATTTTTTTTTAGTAAGTCCCCTGGATCTCACCTTCATCCACTTTAAGGTATAAAGGTTTACTGATCCCTAGCCAGATTGCAACATAATTTAGTAATCTCACCCAGTATCATAACAGATTGGGATCTTAACACTCAGCAGTGATATTGTTGTCACTCGTTCTTTGATTCTAATGAAAGGGGCTTCTTGTTTTGTGCCCCAACAACACTACACATCTTTAGCAGTGAGATTGCATGGAGATTCACACTCTGATGGTAAATTAGGCACAAACTTTAACTAGTTAATGATTTCAACAAATTGTTGCATTGCTTTCACATCTGTTGGTCACAGTATCTCTGCTACAGCTCTCAACTTGTCAATATCTGGGTAAAGTATTTTTGCTGCATCTTAAATTACATATTTTTGTGTTTAGTTTGAGATTCATCTAGTGAGTTCTCTTTCCCAGTCACACTGATTGTGATTGTGATCTATGAAAGTATTTTACATTGGGTCTCTATATTCATAGCAATTGTGTGGAAACTGAAAACCGAAAGAGCTATGGATGCTGGAAATCAGAAACAAAAGCAGAAATTGCTGGAAAAGCTCATCAGATCTGTGGAGAGAAATCAGAGTTAACATTTCGGGTTCAATGACCCTTCCTCAGAACTGATAGTCGCCAGGAAAAAGTTGGTTTTTATGCAGACAATAGGGGAGGGGGTAAGGAGTAAAATGTCTGGCCACCATCTGTGTCTCAGGCATGCTGCAATGTTCCAGTGCAGCTCAGCATAAACTGGAAGAATAGCACCTCATTTTCCACTCATGAACTTTACAGCTTTCTGGACTCAATATCGAGTTCAACAATTTTAGGGCTCAAGGCACCTTTTCCCATGTCCTTAACCCAACTCCCACACACCAGGCCTTGTTATCACATGCTATTACACACAACCCATTGTTGGCTACTAATTATCCCCATCAGTAGCTATTCATTCTCCCAGGCTGATCATTAGCCACCCTTTATCTGTTCAACTGTTCTTCTCTTTCTTTGGGCTCTTTCCCCACTCCCCCCACCCTGTGCAGCTGTGACCTTTTCCTTCATCAGTAATGCAACTCCCCCACCCCTTTAACATCTCCCTCTATAGTTCCTGAAACATCTAAACCCCGGAACATTGAGCTGCCAGTCCTGCCCTTCTCTTAACTAAGTTACTATCATGGCTATAACATCATAGTTCCATGTACTAATCCAGGTTCTAAATTGGGCTGTCTTACCTGTTATACTCATTGCATCAAGTAAATACACTTTAGCCAATCCTACCATGTTCATTGACATTTCTGCCTGGTGTTCCTGTTAGACTTACTTGACTGGAAGGCAACCTTCTGCTCTGATTGCCATCCCCCTGCCTCCCTCTAAGGAACAGGGCTTCTGACCTTACTAAAGTAGGTAGAGGACATGCAGGAAATTATTGCTGAACCCTAGCATCACTTCAACCAAGCCCATAGGTAGATTCTAAAGGTCTTACAATACTCCTAAATGGCTCACTGGCGGTCAAAAGCTGCTGAGGTGGCATTCACAGGAAGACAAGGGATGTCTTTCAACAAATAATCAAAAACAATTCAAATGAGTTATTTCAGTCGAAGACAGCTTTCTCCCTCTGATAATTTCAAAGCGACCTTTCAGGCATACTGTAGCATTTTCTACTGGGACACTGAATGCCATGCCTGGTGCATGACATCTCAGTGCTTACCCCTGCCATTGATAAATCGTTGGCAACTTTGCTTCCCATCTGCTAATTAACCAGCTTGCACATGATTGCACTGGAATGGGGGTCAGAATGGGAGACCTTTTGCTATTTGCTTCTACCTCCATGACCCTATTGCATCATGTTAAATTCTAGCCAAGGCATGTATTAAGTTAACATATTGTTGATTCTAGTGTACACAAAAATATCCCTCATTATCAAGTCATCATCATAACAGAATACTAATTTCTGAGATATCGCTCAAAATTATTCTTTTAGTGATTATGCTACATTGGTATAATAGAAAAGAGCTAGCACACATTCTCTTGCAGTTTCTTCATTGTCTTGACATTTAACTGGCCCTGTTTAACTGTGACGAACTTCATCATCCAGGATATACGTCTAAATATTAATTTGTTTATATGAGCAGTCTACAGGATAAGGTATGGTGATGTTTTTGGCAGTTCTGCTTAGTAACAAAATCACGACATAATTGAAGTAAATTTACACCCCAACGGTTAAGAATTTACATTACAAAAACTACCTAGATACACTCAAACAATGTCAATTCAATGTGTGGAATTTCAACCTTCTATAGCATTAACCAGTCTCTTCTCGTTTTCGATAGGTTCAATTGTTCTTGTTCAAACTCATGGACCTCAGCACACGTCGTTATTTTGTTTCATTACAGACTAAGAGACAGGCGAGGATTAGTACTGCTGCGTCTATTCCGACAGCAATGCCGAGACTGCTACAACCCTTATCAGCATAAACCAACCATCAGACAAAAGGAAATGCAGAAAGTATTTGATCGATTTATTTTAAAAATCCGTAAAAATTGCTACATGGAAACAGTAACTCTGACTGAAAGGAAGTTACAATATCGCAAGACTAAACCCCATCAGACATCATTGTGTGAGGCCTGTGCATTGGGCATGTGTTGTTTCTCAGATTGATGTGGCTGTCTGAGTTACATCTGGAGTAGAGCTTCCACTTTTGATGAAACAGATAAATTGTGACCAAGAAGGAAGTATTTGAGCATCACAAAAAATAAAACCTTCTTAGAGCTAGCACAATCATGAAAGAAGATAATTGTGTATTTTATTTTAATTAAACACTGCTGTTTCACATATTCGAGAGGTGGTAATTTTGTTATTATTTTCTATTGTTACTACTTACTAAGCTGAAAATAGGTTAATTACCAAAAATGAGCATTTAATTTATAAGTGCACCTGAGCACAAGCTGAAAAATGTAATAAGTTTATTTGGTGTACACTTGTTAGCTTCTTAGTGAGTTCCATTTTTTTATGTGCTTGTGTGTTTAAGAAAATGTGTGCAATCTCCTGAACCAGCGCAGTCATTGGAATCAAGTAATTTTGAACTGAATCTTAAACTGGTATAGAAAAGCATGGAAAATAGAAGGGCCGGGTCGTTTTGGACATGGTTCACTTACATGGGATTATAAGAAACAGAAGCACAAGTAGGCCATTTAGCCCAACAAAATCTGCCCCACCATTCAATAAAATCATGGTTGACCTGATTATTGCCGAACTCCACTTTCCTACTGGCCTCCAACACCTTTGAATAATTTGTCAATCAGAAACCTGTCTAACTGGAATAAATTCACTGCCCCAGTGTCCACTGCTCTCTGTGGAAGAAAATCACAAAGACTAACAACTCCTAGAGAAGGAATTCCTCCTTATGTCATCTTAAATGAGAAGCCCCTTATTTTTAATCTGTGCCTCCTTGCTCTAGATTCCCCCGTGAAAGGAATCATTTTTCCAGCATTTATTCTGTCACTTCTCTTCAGAATCTTATATTTCATATGATCACTTCTCACTCTTCCAAACTCCATCGAATATGAGCCCAACCTGAAAACCTTTCCTCTTAAGACAACCTCTTTAACCCAGGAATGCAGCCAGTATCTTCATTAAGGTCAGCAGTAGAATACACAAAAATATTTCTCCCATTGCTTGTTTCTCACACTGCAGAATGGGTCCCATGATCTACACATCATCCATCAACATGATTTTTTTGCTATTGGTTTATGGAATGTAGAGTTCACCAGCTAGACCAGCACTTTTTGTCCATCCCTAATTACATTGGAGAAAGTGGTGTCAAACTGCCTTCTTGAACCACTACAGTCTTTGGGGTGTTGGGACACCCACAGTGTTGAGGTTGGTTGGCTCGCCGAGCTGGTTCATTGTTCCACAGACATTTCATTAATCTGCTGGGTAACATCATCAGTGCAGCCTCCGAGTGTTTTCCCGCCTGGTTTTTAAACTCTGGAGTCCGTTGAGCTGGATTGCCTCACTTCCGGTTTTCCTTCATAGTGGAGTGTATACGGGGTCGAGTTCTATGTGTTTATTGATGGCTTTCTTCGTGGAGTACCAGGCTTCTAGGAATTCCTGTGCTTGTCTCTGCTTTGATTGTCCCAGGATTTTGGTGTTTTCCCACTCAAGTCACCGCACTCAAGTCACCCCACTCAATCCACTCAGCCCACGAATTCCTCAACTCCATCAAAGACATAAGGATAGACGACGAGGAGACCATGATATCATTTGATGTCACTGCCCTATTTACATCAATAGACATACCAATGGGACAACACCAAAATCCTGGGACAAGCAAAGCAGAGACAAGCACGGGAATTCCTAGAAGTCTGGTACTCCATGAAGAAAGCCATCAATAAACACATAGAACTCGATCCCGTATAGACTCCACTATGAAGGAAAACCGGAAGTGAGGCAATCCAGCTCAACGGACTCCAGAGTTTAAATACCAGGCGGGAAAACACAATGGCGCTTCATCGGAGGCTTCACGGATGATGTTACCCAGCAGGGTAAAGAAACATCTGCAGAACAACAAACCAGCTCGGTCAGCCAACTAACCTCAACACCCACAACCCGAGCTACAAATCTACTCCAAAACCTTAGACACCCACAGTGTTGTTAGGAAGGGAATGCCAGAATTCTGATTCACTGACAGTGAAGGAAAGGTGATATAGTCCCAAGTCAGGCTGGTGTGTGGTTTGAAGGGAAACATGTAGGTGATGTTTCCCATGCATCTGCTGCCCTTGACCTTTCAGGTAGTAGAGTCACAGATTCAGAAGGATCTGCCTAACCAGCCTTGGTGAGTTGTTGCAATGCACGTTGGTAGACACTGTTGCCACTGCACATTGGTGATACAGGGAGCAAATGTTGAAGGTGCCAATTAAGTGACATGCTTTGCTCTGGATGTTGTCAAGTTCCTTGAGTGTTAGTGGAATTGCACCCATTCAAGCAAATGGATATTTTCCATTACAGTCCTGACCTGTACCTTGTAGATGGCATGGGAGAGGTAGGAAGTGAATTACTAGTCATGGAGTTCCTAGCAACTGACCTGCTCTTGTAGCCACAGTATTAAATGGTCCAGTTCTGTTTCTGGATCAATGGTAACTCCCAATATATTGACAGTGGTGAATTCAGCAGGGTAACATTAATGAATACCAATGAGCTATGGTTAGATTCTCTCTTGTTGGAGATGGTCTTTGCCTTTGAAGCAAATGTAATTTGCTTTTTGTCAGCCCAAGCCTATACTTTGTTCAGGTCTTGCTGCATATGGATATGCAATACTTAAGTATCTGGGGGTGTCAAGAATGGTGCCTAACATTACGTGATCACCAATGAACATCCCTACTTCTGACCTTATAATAAAGGGAAGGTCTTTGATGTAACAGATGAAAGTGGTTGGGTCTAGGATGCTATCTTGAGAAACTCCAGCGATGATGTCCTAGGATTAAGATGATTGATCTACAACAACAACAACCATCCTCCTTTGCAGCAGGTATGACTCCAACTAACTGAGAGTTTCCCTCGATTTCCACTGACTCCAGTTTTGCCAGAGTTCATTGAGACCACACCCAGTCAAATGCTGTCTTGATTTTTAATGAGAGATAGTAGGAACTGCAGAGGCTGGAGAATCCGAGACAACAAGGTGCAGGGCTGGATGAACACAGCAGGCCAAGCAGCATCATAGGAGCAGAGAGGCTGACGTTTCGGGCCTAGACCCTTCTGATGAAGGGTCTAGGCCC